CATCCCAGGGGCCACTGAAAACATTCTCGCGGGCCGGATTTGGCCCGCGGGCCGGCACTTTGACATATGTGGTCTAGGCCTCTGCTAAAATAACGGCAAATGAACCATGAATGAATGTGGAAGACGGTTTATTTCTATGCAGTAATGTAATTAGTCGTGAACTTGCACTCTTTAAAGTGTTCTCAATGATAAGTTGGACCCTATTGTTTTACCAACTATTGTGGAACGATTCTACATCGGCAACACACACACACACACACACACACACACGCACGCACGCACGCACGCACGCACACACACACACACACACACACACACACACACACACACACACACACACGCGCGCGCACACGCATGCACACACACTCACAGCCTCCTGTTATCGTTTGTTTGCAGTAGTTGAGTGCGTACATGTGAGTGATGTCAGCGGTTACTTACGCTTGAATAGAAAGGTTCTCCCGACACGCAGATGACATCTTGCTCCTGAATGGTCAGAATATCTTTAGCCAAGTGCAGTCGGATATTAAACGGCTCCTCATTACCTTCTTGCATCAAATAAATCCCAGTCTTTGTCTGCGAACATTGGGAAAGATAACATCGTTCATCGGGGCTGAATTAAGTGGCCATGAAATGAAATGTCGGCAAGGCCGCTGGTGGCGAAATGAACATTGCAAATTAGACGGCTTTGCCGGTGAGCGTTATTGCCTTTGCTTGGTGACGCACATACACACAATCCTAAAAAGAAAAAGTTTTCCTGGCCTAAAGAAGCAGTGAAAGTGAACAGGTGCCGTTGTCACCTCCTTGCATGACACAAGCAGCAGGACTGTGATTCTAATCACGCATTTAAACACGCTCATTTGCATCAATTTGCATGGCGCCACCGCTTCCCCTCCCCGGCTAATTACGATGCCTGTCTGCCCTTGACTTGAAAGGGTCTAAATAAAGAAGGCACCTTCACCTGACACGACTGCTAAGAGAAAAGGAGCCACCCCATGTCAGTGTGTTTGTCACCCATCATCACTTAACAAGGCTGTGCCGCATGCGTGCAATATGTTAGCTCCACTGCAGGTCAGTTATCTTTCACTGCTAATGAGCAGCGCAGAAGAACGCGGCCTCCGCTCCTGCACTCGCAGCTGCGGGGTGACGGATGGAATCAGAGGAAGACAGTGTGTTTTCCTTCGCCTATCTCGGATGCACGCGCGTGTGAGTGTGTGAGAGAGAGAAAACAAGAGGACATGGCTCGCTCGACACAGGCAGGGTCAGAGAACGCCTCACGAGGATGAGCGCCGGTGACCTGTGCCGAGGCTCGCATTGTTCCTAATTGGCCTCATCTCTCCTCTCATCGCACGCCTCGCTATCCCATCATTAGCCACGACATCATCTGTAAGCAGGCACACACACCCGCATCATGTAGTGCACTGCATGCAGCAGCTGTGTTGCTCAACCTTAATCACGCCACAGGGACAACACTTACTTATGCTGTAGAATAGGCAACATGTATTTTTTGGCCCAAAGATTTCAATCTAAAATGGAACTACTTTCAAATGTAAATTATTGAAATTTATGGCAACAATGTACGCAGTTAGCACAACAAAGCAAGCAAGGTGTTTGCTCCGAAATACGTTTTATTTAACTTGTATCTTTAAGTTGGGGGGAAAAAAAGCCCAACTAAAATTTGATCAGTTTGTTGCCTTGAAATTTTCAGTTCACCCAACATTGTTTTTTTTTGTTTTTTTACAGTACTGTATACAGGGCACAAGCGATTATTTGGTCGAGAATTTTTTTCAGCTCATATTGGCACTTTAAAAACAACAACAATAATAACACATTGGCAAAAAAAAATCTGAAAAAATGAGAGGATATTAGCCAATTTAATACTTACTATTTGATAGAGGAGTGATCCTGACCCAATAGCAGCATCGGCCTTCTTTCTTTTGTTTTTTTTTTGCACATCCAACAACTAAGCGTATTCAGCGAATGATATCACACATTTTTTTAACCTCCCAAAATGGAATTCGTTAGAGAACAGATTCAAGGCACTCTGCTCCAAACCTGGTTAAACCATTCCTTAAATGGGACTAATACAAGCACTAAGGTAGATTGTATGGTTACACTCTCACGCCTTGAGGGAGCATCCGTTGAACGACTCACAGCAAAACAAACAACATGCTCGCTCGACCCACTCCCCCGAGGAAGCTTGTTAAAGCGCCATTTCAAATCCGAGATTTTTCTTTTCTATTGTTAATGTTTCTCTCCTTTGATACGGTATATCTGCAGCTTTCAAGACAGCCATGATAGGACCCTTACTTAAAAGATCCAACCTCGATTAATGATCACATGGCTTTTCGCAATCGAGTTGAACTATTTCAGCATGTTCAGGGCAAATCATTCTACTGAGATGGGCCCTCACAAAAGTGCTCAAGGATCTTTTATTAGCTTTGGACTCCGAGAGCTCATCAATATTATTATTACCTGACCTTTGCCCTGCCTTTGTTTCTGTCGATCATAATGTACTGCTAGATCGCCTTGTCTTTAAAGGCTTAGAATGTCCCTGTTTGAAATCTTATATCGCAAAGAGAGAGCACCATGTATTTCATGGTAATATGACCTCTGAGTACTATAATGTTACCTAAGGGGTCCCGCAGGGATCGATACTTTGCACTTTGTTGTTCCGCTGTCGATGCTGCCACTCGGAGATACATATCATTCGTAAGTATGACATTAGCTTTCACTGTCATGCTGATGGGATTCAATTTTGCCTTTGGAGCTAACTCACCCATGCAAGAGCTATAACCTAGCGGCATGCCTTGTTCAAATTAGGCACTGGATGTTTTGTAACTTCTTGCATCTTGACTCTGACAAAACCAAAACGATGGTTATTGGTCCTTCCAGACACGGGCACCTGACTGAGGATGCCTCTCTGGGCTTGGACAAAAGTAGCCAAAGTGACTCAGCAAAAAAGAAAAAAATGGGTGTTATATTTGACCCACCTCTCTTCCTTCAACTGCATATGGAGAGCAATACTAGAAATGTGTTTTTGCACCATCACATATTTCCCAGATACTTCCCATTGTATGCATGAATGATGAATTTGGCAGCACACCTTGACTATTGAATTGTATGTTACTTGTGGGTCTTCCCATGTTTAGTCATATAAGCCCGCAGTTAGTACGAGATGCAGTAGCAAGACAAAAGGCCTCTATTTTTATAGATACCTGTATCGGTTTTTGTGCCAGGGCAAGTCTAGTTTGCCTAGTTTTACCATCTTTGGGAATTTGGCACAGCGCTGTGCGCCTTTCTGGGCAATTTGGTGAAAGGAAGTAGATTAGACTTTAGGCCAGATGAAACTAGATCTGAGTTGCGGCGTAGGTAGGGTGACATGATTTTGGTGGATTTGATCAAGGCACAGGCAGACAGATGCTGAGACATGAGTGGTGGATGTCATCGGAATTCATTCATAAATATGACAACAGCATGCATCAACCTCTCTGAATCATCGTAGGAATCAATTCATTGAACAAAATATTACTGTTAGCATTATTAGCATTTATATATTTTTAAAAATGCCCTCCTGACCAGTCCAGCGAGTCAGTTGAGCTTCCGTCTTGGGAACCACGTGCCTCTTCTGCAATGAATTTCAAGGGAATGAGGGCAGCTACTTCCATCTATCCATCCATCCGCCCATCCTCACAAGGGTGGAGGGTATGCTGGAGCCTATCCCAGCTGTTTTCGGGCAGTAGGCGGGGAACACCCTGAACTGCTTGCCAGCCAAATGCAGGGCACACATAGACGAACATCCATCCGCACTCACACTCAAACCAAGGGACATTTTAGAGTGTTCCATTCACCTGCCCTGCATGTTTTTGAAATGGCACGGGGAGAACATGCAAACTCGCTGACCTCACTGATAGTCATGCTAACAAAAACCATACTTGCAATTGGGCACCCTAGGGTACAGTATTTGCGCCGGTATGCTGTCCCTTACACGGGAATGGTTATTATCCTTTAAAGAATGAACTGCAGAGCCCATTTGAACCCTGTTGCTAACCAGAATATTTACACTTGCTGAGGCACGTAAACACTTTTACAGAAAAAGTTTGTCGTAAATGAGTATTAAACCTGATCTTGCATTTCGGCATCTTTACCAAAGAACCAATCGACTCTGATGGGATGTTGTCGTGCCACAATGTTGTGTACACGCATGTTTACTTATTTGTTACACCCAATTAGCCTGGATTTGCTTTTCTGTATTTCTCGCGAATAGTCCTTTTCACTTTCACATGACATCAATTGTAAAATACCACTAAGATTGTTACTATATATTACTCCCAAAACAAAGACCTGACCGCTAACAGACGCCTATGCCACAGTTGAGTAAATGAAAGCCCCCCCGGCCACCATTTGCAGGAATAAGATATATATTCAATGCTCTGCATTAGCCACTTGTAAAAGCAGAAAGGGAAAACAAAATAAATGCTTTCCATTTCCAGAGATTGATTAAATGCTACCAACCTCTTCATTTGAGGTCTTGAAATCCATGTGCTAGCGTGCAGTGAGGGATTCTGCAGAGGAGAGAAACACAACTGAGTTATAGAGCGGCTGCAGCAAAAGCCCACAGCCAATTTAAACTGGCTTTGTTACCAGCAAGAAGCGCTTTCAAAAGAGGCTAGACCTTCATGGAAATGCTACGTAAAATCTCAAGAGACGTCTTATTCGAGGAGCAGAGAAGCAAAGGTTGTTAAAAACAGTTACATGAGGCGCGATATCTACAGCACTGTATATCGAAGGATATAAATGCATATAAATGATGCAGATGTATCTCAATAAATAAGAACAAAAATTCTGGATTTTTTTTTTTAGTAGCTCAATTTCAAGTGAAACACATTTCATTACAGAGGTTCAGTTGAATTAAATCATAGCATACAGTGCACCAAATTTCCAAATTCCCCATCTCAAGAAATTATTATACACTTATATTACAAATTAGATGGATATCATCCTCCGCAGTTTTTAATGAATATGTATAAGACGTATCGATGCGTTTCGCTTTTTGGATTGATCTACCGAACTCAGTTAACTTTTCTATTATATTCTAAATCAATGAGAAGCACCTGTTCACGAATGGAGGAAAAGATTGCCTTTTGAATGGATGAAAGCACATAGCAGCACTTGATACAAGACATTGCACTCAGAGATTAACGTTGTAAAGAACAACCAAAGTTTTGACACTTTTTTAATTCAAATATTTAAAAGTAATAAAGTACTCTTCAACACACAAACCACTCACGATCTAAAAGGCCACATGCTGTTTCATCAAGAGATCATGGAATCAAATGGAGCAGCCCGCTTCCATTCAACTTCCATTACAGCCACATTATATTCGTTTTGTTTGTAGCACAGCCATTTGTCCATTCACACTCATTTATGAATGAAAACCATAAGGTGAAAAAGCTAGCACATCTACTAGTCCATCGATACGTTATCCTTCTTTTGAAACTTGACTCCCCACAATGAATAACCTCTGGAATGAAGCAGCAAGAAATAATTCATGATCGCAAAAGGTGAGGATAAGGAGTGCTAATAAATGTTTCAATCCATCTCTCCCCATATAGAGAAGAGCTTTTCTTTTGTACTCCAGTGAGAAAGAAGGTTCCACGGATGCCATATCTGAGCCTTGCCTCATTTGCACAAAAGCAGCCCGCTCACTTTTCAGCAGACATAACAGCACTTGACTCGGCGACCAGACGTGAAACACAAAAGGCGGCTCCCGTGGCACCCGGTGGAGGGGAGACTCACTTCAACTAGAAAGGCCCCAACTGTTTTCATGTGGCAATCAGGCCATCGAGCATCCAGCTGATCCCAGATCAGAGTCACGCTGCTGCGAGCCGGCCTGTCCGCATCCCCGATGGACGCAGCAATCAGGGGCTGGGAGGATGGCAGGAAAGGGCGTACCTCACGGCGTCATCTCGGGGCCACTCGCTGGCGCAGAGCTGCGATAAGAAACAGAGACGGGAGAAGAGTAAATTCTCTGGTGAGGAAACGAGAGTGAATGTTGCTGATTAAACACTTGAGAGGGGAAGGGATATGGAACCAGATGCAATTGGCGGCTGCTATTCCTCACATAAACAGGAGATTTGAGAACAAGCTTCATTCTGGAGAACAATGTCGGGCTTGTAATACCCCGTCAATATGCAATTAGCTCATATTCTTGCATTTTGTAAGAACAACACGCGCCTCTTGTTAGGATGCCTTGCTGGCTGCAGGCCACCTTTCTGATGAGACGCAGTGTTGCCACCATCATACAGTTAGTGCTCTACAGCATGAAAAAAATGAATCAAATAAACACAAATATACTAGTTGGTTCCAAGCTGCATTCTACGGATAAATCACCCACCGCTGAATATTATACAGAAAGAAACCCTTAATAGAATTTGAAAATGTATATGTCTGAGTCCCATCTGGACCAGGAGTGAGCGATCCGCAGAGCATTTGAGGAGGATAAACGCTGAAATGTAAAGCAATGACCTTCATGTAATAGCTCAGGGATGCACTCAAATATTAATCGCATATTTCAGTTCAACTCGAAAGCTTTCTTACATGGAGGTTACATCTTTGCTCGTCCACTGGAAAAACATTGCTTGCAGTTTTATCAAAGCTCAATTAGGACGAAACAATAACGCAACAAAAGCATGTGACTGGTTTTAGTCATCCAGTGGGTTTTCTGACCTACATTCATATACAGTAAACCAGGTTGCATGTTCACGGTCCCACTATTGGCTGTTTTGTTGTTGTTGTTGTTGTTGTTTTTTGTACAGTTAACGATATAGGGCCACGACATGGTGGCGCACTTATTTAGCTTGAGACGCTGTAAATAAAGGAAGAAAGTAGTTGAGCACAGTGTCATTTTGGTTGATAATGATTGAATGTCACTTATGGAAATCCTGCTCTTTTCAGCATATACAGAATATACATAACATGTCTATCAAACCAATGACAAATAATTTTGAAGAAAGACCTTTCATTTGATTTCTGACACAAGGCAGAACTGTCATTCTGCAACCCAGAATTGAAGTTCAAAATATAACACAAACAGCTCACTCTGATTAAGGATTCATTTGCAAGAAATTAACATAATGGACAACTCCATGAGTTTTAGGGCCCTGTTTTCATAGACAGGCGCCCGCGTGCTTGGTATAAAAATGGCCGCACCATCATTTTCGTGTCGGGGCAAATTTACTCACTGTGTTTGGGACCGTAATCCTAAAGCTAGCCCTATACCTACCCCTAACAGCCCTAACCAGGCTAACCCACATGCTTGCCTTACCCACTAACTCTCGCGCCGAACGCCTATCTATCGTTCTGACCCAAATCCTACCCGTATAAATAGCCCGAAGCTAAAGATAAAATACGATTACTAACCCCTTTGGAGCTGGTTGGCGAGCAGAATTGATGTGCTTCTATTGCCTCATTAGTGAGTCACCGTGTGTTGCATTGCCCTATTAAGGGTTAAAAAGTAATTTGTTGTAATCCTGCCAAGACGAAGCTCTCGAATCATACGACCGTAACGTGGACTCAGCTGCTCAATAATGGGATTGTATTTCGATGCAACAAAACAACAACAACGGCCCCAAATTGGCATAGGGTGAAGTTTATAATGGTGTATTGATCAAAGTATTATTTATTGAATTGCTGTGGGAATACCTGGCAGCTAAATCAATCAGTAACGTCCCGCTCTGGTGTACTATAATGTATACAGAGCAGAAGGGCAACAGTGATGGGGAAAGCCAGTGATGTGTGTGAGCGTGCTCTAAATGAGTTGCGCAGAACATCTAAAGATGTGAGAGAAAGCTCCTATAAAAAGAAATGTCCTATCTGAAAAACGCCTCGCGTTTCTCAATTCAAAGGTTCAGACCCTTTGTTGCCTTTTAAGTTGAGTCAGCGAAAGTGTTTTCCTTTCTTTCTTTTTTTTTTTAAACAATCACTCCATCAGATATTTGCAGCGCCACCAACTTTGCCAGAGCCGCGTTGCCTGCGACACAATGGAGAGGAGATTGGCTGAATGAGGCAAAGATGATACACGGGACATCTCCATCTCCGAGACCCGATGACATGAGGCAGCTGTCGGCGCCGCGTGCTCCTGAAAATCGAGTTTTACTGGAAAATTGATGCCGGCGTCACGTCCAATGCATTTTACTTCGTGGAACAGATACGAGAGAGCACTTACACAATCTATCTGCTTATTTGAGTATTATGCAAGGGCGACACACATATCCACTTTTTGAGATCTACAAAAGTAAATGGCAATGAATAGGTGAATGCATGAGCCCTGGAATACAGTCAGTGCTCATGTATTTGTACTGTACTGTTGAGGAGACTGGGGCAAGTTGAGCCTCCCATTCTTCCTAAGATAACATTAAAAACAAAAAACAAAAAAACGGCTTAGTTTGGGAGATGGCCAAGAACCTGATTGTCACTCCGTCAGAGCTCCAATGGTCCACTGTGGAAGGAGGAAATCCTTCCAGGACAACCATCTCTGGAACCAGCTACCAATTAAGACTTTGGAATACATTTGCAATCAAATAGGGATGAAAAAAAAATACTTTTTACGTTTTATGGAGCACTGCGAGTTGACTTTTTGAAATTGATTCTATTTTGGAATAGGGCAACACAGTACGGGAATAAAAATGAACAAATTCCTGATGGAATCTATGCGGCGCCAAATAGTTTATTTATTTATTTTTTAACTAGTATTGTAAAAGTTTTGTCCTAATTTCTCTCACAGATTATAAAGCACATACTGTGGCTCAAGGGATTTTTTGGGGTCTGCGCTTTACTCAATGTCATTTGAGCTGCAGTTAAACGTCTACCAATTAAGACTTTGGAATACATTTGCAATGAAATAGAGGGAAAAAAATACTTTTTACGTTTTATGGAGCACTGCGAGTAGACTTTTTGAAATTTATTCTATTTTGGAATAGGGCAACACAGCACGGGAAAAAATGGACAAATTCCTGATGGACTCTATGCAGAGCCAAATGGTTTATTTATATATTTTTTAACTAGTATTGTAAAAGGTTTGTCCTAATTTCTCTCACAGATAATAAAGCACGTACTGTGGCTCAAGGGATTGTTTGGGGTCCGCGCTTTACTCAATGTCATTTGAGCTGCAGTTAAACAACATTGTTTATGACTATAGCTGGGAATGGTCATTATTTATTTAGGTTTCCTGATCTGCGAGCACTTGGATGGCTTTGTGCCTCTGTGAGATACAGGTGGCACATTTGAGGGGCAAACGACAAAAGAAATGGGATAAGACTGCAGACGGTGACATTTGAAGACACCGGAGGACTTTCACCACATAACAAATGCAAATATTAAACACTGAGAGAAATAAATTGCAATTTCTTAATGATTAATTGCCGCTGCAAGCATGTGGAGATTGGATTGAAGCCAGCGAAAGACCTGAAAATGGTCACCTTTGTCGAGGTTTTTGTGGACTGAAATTGAAGTCAATTTGAGATAACATTCTTAAAAAACGTTGGCGGAGGCTGAATGACTGTGCAGGTAACAATGTTGAATTTGGACCGCCTTCTTCTTTGACCATCTTGGTAACAACATTGGTTTTATTTATTCTATGTATAGCGGCCCAGTGGTTAGCACGTCGACCACACAGTGCAGAGGTACCGAGTTCAATTCCAGCTGCGGCCTCCCAGTGTGGAGTTTGCATGTTCTCTCCGGGCCTACGTGGGTTTTCTGGCCAGCGAAAGACCTGAAAATGGTCACCTTTGTCAAGGTTTTTGTGGACTGAAATTGAAGTAAATTTGAGATAACATTCTTAGAAAAGGTTGGCGGAGGCTGAATGGTTGTGCGGGGAACAACGTTGAATTTGGACCGCCTTCTTCTTTGACCATCTTGGTAACAGCATTGGTTTTATTTATTCTATGTATAGCGCCCAGTGGTTAGCGCGTCGACCTCACAGTGCAGAGGTACCGAGTTCAATTCCAGCTGCGGCCTCCCAGTGTGGAGTTTTCACGTTCTCCCCGGGCCTGCGTGGGTTTTCTCCGGGTACTCCGGTTTCCTCCCACATTCCAAAAACATGCATGGCAGGCTGATTGAACACTCGAAATTGTCCCTCGGTGTGAGTGCGGATGGTTGTTCATCACTGTGTGCACTGCGATTAGCTGGCAACCAGTTCAGGGTGTCCTCCGCCTACTGCCTGAAGACAGCTGGGATAGGCTCTGCCACCTCAGCAATGCATGCAGGAAGTCGCAAAGCAAACCTCACCAGGCGGATGATGTCAAGTTCACAGACTGGTTAAGTGGACACTTGGCAAAAAAAAAAATCATTAAGATAATAATTTCTATTATGATTGTGAGAATTCAATTTAGGAATGAAATACGATGACATTCATCACATATTTTATGTCTGCCTGGGCCACTTGGCCTTTCTGACTGTGATGCATGTCTTCCGCCAGAAGATATCAACTTGTCGCACACTCGACACACAAGGTGAGGACGCGCCGAGTCAGCGGTTTTCCCATAAGACGCAAGCTCCCCCACCCCCTCGATTTTATCGCAGGACGAAACTACGATTTTGCGTGATTCCTAATGGGCTCATTCATTGTCTGGTGGCCTTTTTATGAACAGCCCCACTGTTCATCTCTAAGCCCCGCCCACTTTGTTCAGATTGGTCAGCATCTGGAAGGCTGTGAGTGGTCATTCGGCTCACTTTTGATCCGGCAGTTTTAAGGGCGTACTGTGTGCCGGTCCCTGTACATTTCATCCTTTATGGCCTTTATTTGCGTGGACGTGTTTCTCTGCCTCCCGCTCAGACACACGCTCGGATCGATCGCTCGCTCGAGATGGAGACACGTCTCATCGTGTTTTCAGTCCTCTGAGAACATTTGTCCAAATAGGACTGTGTCATGGAGCTCCGGGCCCCGCGTACACGATGAGTGATGGGCACAGCGGTAAATTAGTGCACTCATTTA